GTAGTAACAAGTAAAATTCCTTCATTACCATCACCATCCTTAGTATTCCATTTCAAAAAGTTCGTCAGTGCAGAATACACACACGAGAACAGGTGTAGTATATACGATAATATATATCTGAGGATTTAAACACCATAAAAGCTTCAAATATGAATGAATGTTTAACCAATATCTTTTAATTTGACAAGTTGAATTTGTCAACATACAAATGTAAAAATGACCAACTCTCATTCAATTTTAAATTAATGTCTGTCTGTGTACGAGTGTAGAAGGAACGTTGAGAAACAACCCAACCTCTCCACACACACACACACGACACACACAAACACCACCTCTGAAAAAACATCATTGAATGATTCATTCATGCAGAAATACTGGACTGATTTGTGTGAATAACGTACACACACAAAAAAAAAACAGAATGTTGCTTTGGTTTAATCAGTTTTGGAGTTTATCGACTGTGTGTATGTTTGTGTTTGTGTGTGTGTGGTGGGGGGGGGTATGCGAGAGAGTTTCATAGCGATGATACTATCAATAACAAGCCAATTTCAGCAATAGCATCACGATAGTTAAACAGCTTATACCAATTATAGAATGATAATAATGATAAATTTCTGTTCGAAACGACTAAACATTTGTGTGGAAAATAAAATAACGACAATGAGAAAAGAATCATTGAACCTTGAAAATACATGGTACACAGTAGATGAGTACATTTCCTAAAATATTGTTAAAATAACAATAATATGAGCATTATATGTTTGTATGCGTCAAGATTTGAAATTCTGTAGCTAAAAGAATAAATTGAGCAACTTCTATCTCAAATATTATTTAGTAGATGGTGACAAGCACATTTCGTCCTTTTCTGAGATTCGTCATCTGATAGATGTACCTTTGATCCCCAGAGGGAGAGTGATGGTGTTGCCACAAGAATTCAAATCCAGCATCCATAGTTTCTGACACAAAAGTACCACCGTTTATGCATTTCCCGTCGACTGATTATACTGAACCGAAATGTTCGGTTTCTGCTAACTTACTTGGCGGTTTAGGGTGATCAAGAATCCTTTAACCCCAGGTGGCGGCTCACCATTGCACCTTGGTGGGTTGAGACTCTTGACGGCATCTAATCGGGTGCTCTCAGGCATGAAGTTTCTTTGCGACAGTGGCACAACGTTTGGGATGCTCGCCGACCATCTACATGGTCTGGGGTTCGATTCCTGGTCGACGCACACTTGATATCAATAGTCGGCCTACTAAATTTGATCTACCGATATCACATGCTGAAAATTCCATACTTGTACCGAAAATTTTGTATGGAATCAAGCTATACTAAAAAAAAAACATGTGAGCTTCTGGTAACGGAAGCTGGCGTTCAGAGTGGAACATATGGCATCGAGTTTTGAGCTGTGAAATTTCAGTAGCAGTGGTGTCATTCTTTCTTTTTTCGCATACGTAGTGTAGTTGCCAGCCTCAAAACGAACCTTCTCTTATTACTTAGGTAACTACCAGCTAAGAGTGAGGGTTGCGAGTGCGTCGGCTGTGATTCGGACTGCGGGCCACGTGGGTGACTGGGGAATATTCTACAGCTAAACCACCGACGCAGAAGATGTGATGTCATTTTAGTTGACGGTTGATAAGACGAAACCTGTATCCTGGATATCACTGTTAGTCACCACTCATCAAGTAACCTTATGTGTTAATCGTCAGACATAGTAACAGAGTTCGTAGTAGCAGTTGACATATCAACAGAAGTGTGGGACATTTCACGTCACTTGAAATAAATAGTCTGTCCATAATGATTAAAACAGGAAGTACGAAAAGATGAAACCACCTCTTGTGTTTATTATGACTTGTTAGAAAGGGAAACTACATCTACTCAGAGATGCAAAAATCACGTCAACCAGTAAAAATGGCAAAATTTCCTTCTAAACTCCATTCAAACAAACCTAACAACAAATAAACAAACTGAGCATCATTCACTTTTTCACCTTATAATGTGATATTTAATTCAATTTGGATTTTCCTTTTGGCTGATGATTGAACAGAAGTATTCGGCCTCACTTTGATATGTCAGCTCCTTGTGCGGGTGGTTCGACGATGCTTGGTTATCTAACTCGAAGTATTTTGGTGGACTGGGCTGAACACTTCAAAAGACTTCTAAATCGACCGCCACCTAGAATGTGCTCAACAATACCAACAATGGAATCAGAGATCCGGATTTTCAACCCCAATGTAAAGTCAATGCTACTTACTATGCGGATCAGAGCATCTCAAACAAACTACAGACCTTCATCAACAGTTGTCTTCGCTCAATACTCAAGATCAGATGGCCAGCCAGAAAAGATAAGCAACAGGCAGGGATCTCTGGGAGCGAACCAAAATAGCAGGAACCGATTGTGCAACAAATAGGCAGGAAGAAATGGAGGTGTATTGGCCATATTCTGAGGAAACCATCAAGGACATCACTAGACAAGCCATTGCTCGAGTGGAACCCGAAAGGGAAGCAGCGAGTTGGTCGTCATTGCGAGGGTGACATGGAGGAGCTCATATGAAGAAGAGATGAAAGCGTGTGGGCAGACTTGGGTGGGGTGAAAAAGTTGGCAGAGGAACGAACGCCAAACACTTCGGTTCAATCGATCAATCGGGACGTCAAAGCTGACTTAAATAATAACACCACTTGTGACCTAAGTGGTTTAGTCTATAACGCTTCGGCTTTTGAAACGATAGGTACTGGTTTGAGGCTCAGTGGAAACATCATCAGCCACTGAATAAGGAATGCAGGCACATTCACCAGCTGGAGACTCTCACCCAAATAGGACGTAATGTACATCCTGGATAGATTCCACTGATAGTCACCATCTGCCAAATTAATATTAGTCAGATGTATTCAGAAACACTTATCAGAAAGGGAATACTTCATCAGGAGTTTCTTGTCTCTATCGTTAATTTATAAGGAAGCCACATCAATTCCTTAATATTGCTGAACATCGTTATGTCTTTCTAGGTGTCAGAAGCGCAACGTCGTTTCTATAGATTCACTCATCTAAATCAATATTAATGAAATAAGTTTCTACAGAAAAAACGTCATCATAACCGAAGAAGTGTAACTCGTTGAAGGATAGACTTCAAAATTTATTTCTTACCTAACAAGTTAGTTTAGGTATAACTGTGTAACGATACAAATGTCTGGCAGAAGAGGTTGGGAGAGAAAACATGACTTCAAGAGGTAATCAAGAAGTCAGAGACAATGAAGATGCCTCCTAACACACCACTCCAGACTTCTATCGACAACTGCTTTCTTGTACAATGGGTCATATTAATTATGTAATTGAATTTTAGATTTTTCCGCCGATTGATTAGACCGAAGTGCTCGGCCTCAGGTTAAATGTCCGCTTCTTGTGCAGATGCTTCGACGATGTCCGGGCATGTAATTAGAATCGGTTCAATTTATTATTATTTATTATTATTGCTCCCTTGGGTTCCTAGTGGAACATAGGGCTTCAACTGCACGTCTCCACTTGCTTCTGTCTTCTGTTGTACTTTTCACCTGCATCCATGTTAGTCCATACTGTTTCAACCAGCTTCTCTTCACACGATCTCCTCCATGTCACCCTTGGACGTCCCACACGCCGCTTCCCTTTCGGGTTCCACTCGAGGGCTTGGCGCGCGATGTCACCCAGCGGTCTCCTCAGCGAGTGTCAGATCCATCTCCACTTTCTCCTGCATATTTGTTGGGCGATTGGTTCTTGCTTTGTTTGTTCCCATAATTCCTTGTTGGTGATTCTTTCCGGCCCGGCCGTCTGATCTTCAGTATAGAGCGAAGACAGTTGTTAATAAAGGTCTGCAACCTTTTGGAAATATTCTTTGTGACCCACACTCCAAGTTTCTGATGCGTTCCGTATAGAAGAACTGACTTTACGTTTGTATGGAAAATCCGAATTTTGTTGGTGATGCTGAGTGACGAAGTTTTCCAGATTGATTTCAGGTTGATGAATGTGTTTCTCGCCTTCCCGATTCTCGATCTGACATCCCCGTCCGCTCCTCCTGTAGTTGAGACAATGCTCCCTAGATAAGTGAATGAAAAAGCCTCTTTCAAATCCCTCCCGCCCCACCAGATTCTAGCTTGCTAGGCTACTAGCTTACTAGTTTTCTCGCCGGTCCCAAGCCCGGGTAAAGAGGGAGGGTTGGGGCGTGGTGCTAGCAACTACACCCCTGTAAAACAACCAAATCGCTACAGAAACTTCAACGAATAAATATATTTAAAATTCTAAAAGAATCGGTTCAATTAATCGACTGGAAAATCTAAAATTGAATGAAATAAATTAATATGACCCGTTGCACAAGAGGTGGCTGGCTCTCATGGCTCAAATGGTCTAGTGGATAACGCTTTGGCGTTTGAAACTATGGGCATTGGGTTCGAGCCTCGGTGGTGGGAACACCATCAGTCACTGGGATATGCAGGCATATCCAGATGACGAGTCGTAAATAGGACGAAATTCGCATCCTGGATCCCACTGCTAGTTACCATCCACCAATTAAACTGCTTTCTCTAGTCTATTCTGAGGATCAGATGGAGGACAGAAAGAATCAGGAACCAGTCAAGAACCCTGTTGATCAACAAATATTCCGAAGAAAATAGAAATGAACGCTGAGAAAACGATCAAGTGACATTGTGAGCTAGGCCATCACTCAAGTGGAACCAAACATGAAGTGATAATTTGGATGTAAGTCTGAGAATAAGGTCGAGGAGATTGTTTAGGAAGAAAATCAAAGCTTATTGACAATCATGGAGCCAGGTAAAGAGGACTATAGAAGACGGGGTGGAAGGAAATGGTACTTCCGAAGCCTTATGTTCCATCCGCAATCTAGGGGAATAAAAATAACTGGTACTTTATTATCATGTGGTGTATCATTTGAGCACATTTAATATGAAATTTATTTGCATATCAACTTCAAATAATATTTCTCCTCATTTTTCTACATTTTACTCTCTTCAACAGGTTGATGCTGACGAACTGATTCCTGTATGTGGTGTTGGCCGACAAAATACCAGTGTTCTTGGTGCATTTATCTTAGCCCCACAAACTGTATTAATCACATTAGGCGGGATAGCATTTATCTTTGGATTTATATGTTTATTCCCGTGTTTTCGTCATCGAAAATGTTTCTATTGGCAACAGTTTAAAACAAAACCAGTTAGTATGCAGGCTCCTAGTGCTACTGGTGGACATTGTAGCAATCAACCGCCTTATCCACAAAGTTATTATCCTCTATACCAACAAAAAGGTCAACAGATGGAAACAGATCATCATCCGCAGCAGCAGCAGCTGTCTATGGAGGATTGCGTTAATCCGCCTCATGTGAATACAACATCTACACCACAGACAAGATCAAGTCTGAAAAAGTCTAAAACAGGTAGATCACATTGTCAGCCAACTGCATTCATCAATAATCCTTCTGTTTCTCATCAGTCTAGTCAACAGCGTTTTTATCAAAATTACAATCATCTGTGTTATACATCCGGTAGGTCATCTCCATCCCCTGGGGATCCAATGGAATTTCGTATAGGGCTGTTCTGTTTCCTTATCTTATTCCATTGATCTGCATGAATGCCTGTGATCTATATGAATATTTATATCGTGATAAATGGTTAATTGCTCCTGGACACACGAATGTCAACAGTAACACTAATCGTCGTGTTATCACCGACAGTAGTCATCCTTCACATAAACCGTATGGATTAAAATATCCTACTGAGAATGTAAATTTTGCTGCATACTTATGGAATATTGATGAAGTGTACGGCCCAAATCCAGAATTATTTATGTTACGCATATTTATGTCACTTGTCACTGGATTTACATGCAGTTTATGGATGTGGACTGTGAAAGGTTGTCGTTTAAGTCAAGAGTGTTGTCTATGCCTAACAAACAATCATGCTTCGGTGTTGAAACAGAAAAAGCAACAGAAAGTTTAAATTTATCCAAGAGGAATTCTAATACCCATGGAGGAATGAAACACAATTATCTCTCGCCTAATGATAATAATGCAATGAATACTGATCCTATTCATAAGCCTGCATTCTCAAGAACACCTGAAGGGACCACATACACCTTACATCCATATGCAGTATATCAGTACACAAAATCCTCAATGGATATAGTTTACAACGTCCTAGTGTAGAAGGACAGTTGGATTTAAGATGTGGCATTGTCGGTTGTAGTAATACTACAACAACTGGTTGTCCCACTGACATCAATTTAAACTGTCATCAAAAATCAAGCTACCCGACAACATCACTTCTAACCAAAGGTCATTTAAGCCAGTTGGATACAAGTTTTATTCCACGTGATTTAGAGCATTCAACAGCAACTACACCCGGTTATTATAGTCATGCTAAGATTAGTCCAAATAGGATAATTGATTCAATGAGTGAAGATGCTTCAGCGTCTTCAATCCCTCCACCTCTTCCACCAGCAACTAGTCGACCACCACGTCTACCGGCACGTGGTGATCCATGTATTGGAGCGTCAGCCAGTCAGGTGTTTACATTCACCAATAAGTTGAATACAGAAAAGTTGGACAATAGTAAAACCTGTCAAAATCATAATGATACTAACAGCAGTGAGACCGAAAACTATAGTTTAATCAAATTTCAAGTAACCTGAGTAGTAATCACTCATACCTGTATATGTAGGTACTTTTATAAATGATTCTTCATGACATCTGAATATATAAATATATATATATATATGTACATTTATATCGTGTACATAAGTGGAACTTTATTTTATTTCAATATTCGCTCGTTTCTTTCGTTCTTGGTTGTCTTTCCTAGCATCATTCTTCATCATCTTCTTCTTCTTCTACCTCTTGTCTCATCGTCATCCTCCGTCATCGTCCTACTCCCCTAATCGGAGAAGTCGCACTATTAAACGCATGAAACACTAGTCATGATAGAATTAATTTCAAGGCATTTATTTATTCAGTAAAGAACAGTTCTTTCTCTGTCTTTTTCTCTCATATAACCTCAAGCATTTTATAATATCTAATTGGATTAACGAGGGAGAGAGAGAGGGGGAAGGTTTTCTATAGAAAGTAGACGGTTTTACAGGGTAAACTAATAATAAACTGTTACATCATAACTGTCAGAATGGTATTCAGTCATCAGAAATAACTATTGATGATACACAACTTCTATTTTATCACGTATTAATTAATATTTGCACGTATACATATATATATATATATATATATATACGAATAAATGACGGGATGCCGTTGTTTCTTTCAAAATTTCAATTAGCCTCTTCATATATGTTGTATTTTGTTTATATTTTCTGTACAAATTCAATGTTCAATGGAGTTAATTTTCGTTTGTTTGAATGTTTGAGGTTCTTGTCAATGACCAATAACAGCATTTATTTGTTGAATGAATTATTTTTAATGCATTTCTGAATAAATAAATAAATAAATGAGATGACAATAGCTAGTAAGAATAAGTGCAAATTTTCAGGTGTTTCAGTTGAAGTGTGTCTGTATTGATTTTGAAGTGGAGACTGTCACAAAACTGTTCAGACATTTTCGTTGTATTGTGTTACATTGTTTTTTCTTTTGAGCACTTTTCTTTCATCTGTTTTTTTTCGTTGACCTTAATTTCTTTTTTTGATTGTTTTAACTTTGTGTGTGTGTAAATGAATAGGTGAAGAGAAAAAGAAAATTTTTATTCCTGAATGGTCATTCTTGATTTCGTTCTTAGAGTTTAAGTGGTGGGGGAAGGGTCATTGATTTCGCTAGTCTCATGCTGAACCTTCCATCTTTGCTGATTTATTATATTTATTTTATCCTTTAATTCCTAGAGGAACATAGGGCTTCAGCTACGTACCTCCATTGCCTTATGTTTTCTGCCAACTTTTTCATCCCGCTCCAAGTCTGCCCACATGCTTTCATCTCCTCGCATGACCTCCTCCAAGTCACCCTCGGACGATCAACTCGCCGCTTCCCTTTCGGGTTCCACTCGAGGGCTTGTCTAGTGATGTCACTTGATGGTTTCTTCAGAATATGGCCAATACACCTCCATTTCTTCCCGCCTATTTGTTTCACAATCGGTTCCTGCTATTTTGGTTCGCTCATTGCCAGAGATCCCTCCCTGTTGCTGATCTTTTCTGGTTGGCCATCTGATCTTGAGTATTGAGCGAAGACAACTGTTATTGAAGGTCTGAAGTTTGTTCGAAGTGCTCTTCATGACGCGCCAAGTCTCTGATTCGTGTAGTAATGAGCACTGACTTCCAATTGGAGTTGAAAATCCGTATCTTATTTTCATTTTCATGGTGAGTGCTGTTGACCCCTACACAGACTTAAGAGTAATGAAAGCTTGTCTTGCTTTCCCGATTCCGGTTTTGATATCCTCGTCAGTTCCGCCTGTAGTTGAAACGATGTTTCCCAGGTAGGTAGGTATTTGAAGGAGGTTGTTCCTCTCAGGTTCCTCCCATTTATGCTGATTGTTGTCTGTTGTTTTTGTTGTTGTTGCTGTTAGTGGTGTTGGCCAGGAGTCTGCATCACCTCTGTTTTATCTATGTTCACTTGATGTCCTATCTTTGATGCTTCTTCTGCCAACTTGTTGCTTTTCACTTGCATATCTTCTAGTTTGTGGGAAATCAGGCATATATCATAAGCAAAGTCCAGATCCTCTAAGTTCTCTTCTGTGTGAGTCCATTTTATGCCTGTTCCCTCGTTGGATGCCGTTGTCTGTCGCATTATCCAATCTACTGCAATCAGGAAAATCATTGGTGATAGTAGGCAGCCTTGCCTCACTCCCGTCCTCACTTCGAAGGCTTCCGTGAGTTTCCCGTTGTGGATTACTTGGCATGCAGATTGTCGTATAACTGTTGAATGAGATGTATAATTGTCGATGGCACCCGGTAGTAGCAAAGTAGTTGCCAAATCACTTCTCGATCGACGCTGTCGAGGGCCTTTTCAAAGTCGATGATATATATATATATCTAATAATATAATAAGGTAATAATTGGCTAGGAACTGAACCTAGTCCGTTTGGGGAGCTTTTGACCACAAAACCATAGACGATGCACACAAGAATCAATGTTTCATATTAGTTTGTTTATTAGATATATCACACAGTGAAACAGTATTATTTACTGGATGTTCAATGTTACGTTACTTTACGTCCAGTGTATCAGACAAGCTGAAACCTGAGGATGTCATCCCTAAAACAGAAATAGGACTAAGTGGGATAGAAAAAACAATGCCTGCTGAAGTAAGGGCACAATGTGCACTGACATGAAGACGACAAAACTGAGGAAAGCCTAACCTGATGAAGCCAGAGATGGAAGCCCTGAAATACCTAAAGAATAACAAAGATATAGTAATCACAAAGTCAGACAAAGGAAATGCAACAGTAGTATTAGACAAATCAGACTATTCGGACAAGGTAAATACTCACATACAAACAGGACCATATGAGGAAATTAATAAGTCAGTAGACACAGTTATGAATAAAGTTAAGAAATCCACAGCGGACCTTATACGCCGAATGAAGCCAGTTCTAGGTGAGTCTAAGTGGTTTAATTTAATGCCCAAAACTGATAACCCTAGTAGGATGTATGGTGTTGTCAAAGTTCATAAATCAGGATACCCTATTAGGCCTATAGTTGATTTTAGAAATTCACCTACTTATGAATTATCTAAATATTTAGCCATGGTATTAAATCCCCTAAAAATCCACTCAAATTCTAGACTAACTAATTCTTATGAACTAAAACACAGATTAGATAATTTAAAATTAGGTATTGAAGAAAAATTGGTTAGTTCTGACATTGTCAGTTTATATACACGTATACCAATAAATATGGCTATAGAGGTAGTCAGAAACGAACTCCTTTCTGACCAAGAACTCGAACTTAGGACAGAAGTGCCACTTGAGGACATAATGCTGGGAGGTGGGGCAGCTATGCCTGACTTCCACAGTATTTAAATTCCAAGGGAAAATATGCAGACAAACTGAGGAAGTTGCCATGGGATCACCAATGTCCCCTAATGTAGCAGATATATTCATGGATAGGTGGGAAAGCATAGCGATTGAAACGTTCAGCCCCACATGTCAAAAGTATGGTGGAGGTATGTAAATGACGCATTCACAGTACTCAGAACACAAGATATAGATAGATTTTTCGAACGTATCAACTCGAAGGTGGAGGCAATTCAATTCACTTATGAATTGGAAAGTCAGGAAGGAGAGCTTCCAATGTTAGATTGCTAAGTAAAAAGGAAAGAAGATGGGAAGTTAAACACGCTAGTATTTGAAGGAAACCCACACATTCAAACAGATATTTGATCCAGTAAATAATACTGTTTCTTCACTGTGTGATATATCTAATAAACAAACTAATATGGAATTACTTACTACCACAGTGCCTAATTTTTACACATATATTAAGAATTAATGTTTGTCGATGTCGTATTTGCTTACAGGATCGACCAGTACTTCATAGAAGTCGGAGTAACCACCCCATTCCCCCACTGATTGATATAGGTATATGAAGAAGGCATTAGTTGGAGGAATACTCAAAGGGAAGCATATTCTAGGTGCGTAAGACAAAATAAGAGACTATAAGATAATAGGCATTAGAAGTGAAGGCAGTGTTTGCCAGATCCTGTGATGAATTCTAAGCCACATAAACTATTATCTATAGCGATAGATTATTGATTATCTTATGAAAGCTTAAAGTGTTTTATACAGTCGCTTGAGAATTAAACGGGCTAACTTCATGTATTACTGACGACTGTTGTCATTTATTATTCCCTTGGATTGGGAGTAGAATATGCGGTTTCAGCAGAACATCTCCGTCTAAATATAATGATTTTTGTTATCCCTTCACGTTCCCAGTGGAACATAGGTTGGCTTCAAGCTAGAGGCTCGATGTTTCTGTAGCAGTGTTCACTTTTACAGGATGAGGTTGTTAGCTTCATGTCCAACCTTTCTTCTTTACCAGCTTTTATTACTGGCTTAGCGAGGTAAAGGTGGAGTGCGTCAGTGGCCGGGGATCGAAACCCGGACCACGTGCGTTGTCGGCGAGCGGCCTAACCGCCATACCACCGACGCTAAAAGCCGCCTGCAGGGAGCAGGGTTCGAACCCATGCGGGAATACATCCCAGGGGATCTTAAATCCACCGCCTCAACCACTCGGCCATCCCAGCCCGAATTATATTGATAATCTGCTTTATTCCAAATAACAACAGTACTTGTAATACAGAATGGAATTCTCAGCATTTGTCACCATACCAATATGGCATCTAATTTACTCAAAATATAAATAAAATTAACCACAGGAATTTGTCAACATTTACAGTAGGAATAAAGTCAAAAATGTGCGAAATTCAAAATGAGAATAATAACCATATTAATAACAATAATAAAAACACTGGGTTCGTTTCAGACAGTATTATTGATACAGTTTGGAAATTTTAGCATGTTGTGGAGTATTGAATCTAATGTCCTCTTGATATAGCAGCATGGTGAGTTGTAAAACAACAAACAACAATTGAAACAGAGCTAAAATGATGTTTACACTTAAGAGAAAATAAACAAAAACAAATTGCGAGGAGTATAAACAATAAGAGGAACAATAACAATAAAGCTTGGTGGAATAAA